ATTTCGGACCCCTGAGCTAGACCCCACCAAAGGTTTCCAAAGGGACAGCAGTGCATGGCCCAGGTAGCTTCTCATAAAGGGTTAAAGCTTTATAGTTAGTCACGGACTTCTCGTTGGCTAGGGTTAAAATTCTTACCTGCCTCTTAAAGTGTCGTGTTCCTTTCTGCTATTGCTGTTATTAGTGTTGCTCTTCTGATGACTGTTGTTACTACTGCTCTAGTTCCAGAACTGATATGAATGCCTACTTTTAGAATGTCCTGTAAACAGTTCCATAACAGAACAATTAGATGACTTACGTGGTTGCCAGGTGGTAAAGGTATTTTATATTCAAACCCGTCACTGTTGTCAGTAAATGTAGGTCTTTACCTGTTTGATGGGGTCATTATGACATAAATAATGTTTGAACTGAGTGTCCAGGGTTGTCGTAGTTAGGATAAGATCACTAAAAGGTAAAAGGGGCCATTCTTCTGACCAGGCACCTTCTGAGTAATGAGTGAGCAAACTGCACGTTAATGGTGCACGGCGTTACGTTCTAGCTGCAGCAGGTGTGTTTCTCTGAGTACAAAGTCGTAACCTCTCAGAGCTTTTCCAGACGGCCCGTCTCCTCTGACGCACTGTCCATCTGCGTCGGCAGACAAAGGGCTCCCGGAGCCATTGAAAAATGTCTCTTCTCTGGCACTAATCACAGTATATTGTATGTGATTGTTTTCTAAACTTGTTTTACTTATACTTGACGATTAGCACTTTTAGGACATGCTCACCTGACCTTTTGAATGAATGAATGAAGTTAAGAAAACTAAGAATCATGTGGCCCTTTCCCCAAAGTACTGCTGTATGGGAAACAACTCTTCTCCTGTTCGAGTTCATTCTCCTGCCTGATTTCTGGAGTACGCTGCCCCTGGGATGTCGTAAGTGGGGAGCTCCGTAAACAAGCAGGGAGTGAGCCCTGCCTCCTGACATCGACCGGCCCTGGGGTGGTTGCCGGAGCTGCTGAGCCCCCTGCCCTGTGCGCCGCGTTCTCTGACACTGTCGTCACTCTGGTGTCACTCACGGAGAGGCACTACCTTGCCCGGGTGCTGTCTGCATTTGGAAAGGTTTTAAAGAGTGTTTTAAAAGCCCCATGTGCTTGGGTATGTTACATGCTTTCACGTGTGCTGATGTAATTACACATCAGTTCAAGTTTTTCCATGTATGAGCCCATTTTGGTTCAGAGTTGTTTAAGATTTTTTTAATTCCTCTTTAGAGAAAGGGGAAGGCAGAGAGAAACGTAGAGAAGCATCGGTTGGTATGTGCTCTCACCAGGAACCAAACCAGTGACCTGTCCCTTTGCGGGGTGACACCCAGCTGGCCGAGACACGCCGGTCAGGGCATTGGTTCAGAGTTTCTGCCAGCTGATAAAGTTCTACTGGAAAAATTAAAATTTTTCTTAGTTGCTAAAGTTTCCTAAATTTTTTAATCACTAAAAATGTGAGATAATTTTCATTTAATTGCTGCTCTGTTATCAGTTATTTTCTTTCATGTTAATAGGAGGAAAATAAAACCATTTTGTCATGCTAGCATTATAAGTAACTGGAAAATGGTGGCACTTGTACTAAATTGGTATGGTGTGAATCTTTGTCTCCAGTGTGTCGATAATTCTTCGTTGTTGGTCCGTTAATCCCCCTGATCCGCTAACACTATCCAGGAATCCTCGGGCTTTGTTTCTCCTGGACACAGTTTGGGGTGCGGCACGATAGTGTTTCAAAGTACACGGCGGAAAGGGGGGCCCTTCTCTGTCGCCTCCCTGAGGACTTTAATGTCTATACTCTTTGCTCCGCACCCTCAGTTACCTTTGTCCATTGGCAGAACACAGGAGAGTTTTGAGTTTTAAAATGAAATGTAGAATTAACATTTTGGAGAGACACACTGTAATCGCAGCAGCAGATGGTCTTGGGCACGTGGCTTGCATTCTGTGTGCTGTAGAATTGGCGCCTCCGCCTTAACGGGTTAGAGCAAGCGGGCGTTCGGCCCCGTTTGAGTCGAGGCCGTCCCGCAGCCTGTTGATGGGGATTCTTTCCTATTTTGGAGGCCTGCGCACTCTGGGTCGGATGACGGGATTGGCATTGTGGTTGCTCAGGGACCCAGTGTCCCTTTATAGCAGCTTGATGGTCAGTTTCCAGTTCTCTGCTTTTATGACCTGTGACTGTAGGACATTTTTATAAACAAAAAGTGGAAGGTCATTAACAGATGACAGAAGTTCAGAATAGAACAGTCCTCATCAATTTTCTGAAACCAAACTCTTTAGGTGAATAAAAACGTGGGTAAGCCCGCAGTAATCAGCTTTGACTGAAGTATGCAAGGTGGCGACATGGTGGCCGCAGAAAGCCTGGACACTCGTGATATGGCCGTGGGGTCGCACTCCAGGGGTCAAGAGATGCTTTCTCGAATTTGGAAAGCCTGAAATTTAGGAGGCGAGTTCCTGTGTTTTTAAGGGTTGGTTGAAGGTTTACCATATTTTATAAATGAAGACAGCAAGGGATTTCTACACGTTAATTGGCATTGTGGTCCTGGGCCCAGCAGGCTGCTGTGCGTGCGGGTGAGCCCTCCTCACTGGTCCGCTGGCCACGATTTTGGCACCTTGCTGGCAGACCTCTGAGAAAAGCCCTTCTGTGGCTAAAACCCGAGGTCAATACCACTCACATCCGTGATTTCAGCTTTGTTATGGTTATTCTGATGTATTTTTCTCTGAAAAGGAACTCGGGAAGCGTGGTTAATAAAGTGAGCCCATTAGATTTCATTTTGTTTTTGTTGGAAATATTTCCTCCTATAAAGTTTAATGACCATGGGTTTGATTGCAGAGATCACGTACCATAACTAGATCTGTCCCCAAGAGGCCATTTAAAACAATGCCATTAGAATCCAGATAACTAATCAAAAACTGTGCTGTGGAATATAATGAAAAAGGACTATTATAGTCTTTTGATATTTTTCCTCTTCATCCCCCAAGAACAGCCGGCGAACACAACATGATCTCTTTGTTGTCGCAGCGTGTTTACGACGGATCGGAGGCTGAATGGTGGAGCTCCCATGGCGGGAGGCCCGTTAGTGACCGGTGCCCGCCACCCAGGGGCCAAACAGGCCGGATCTCACCAAAAAGCATTCTCGTGCCCAGTGGTTTTACAGTGAAGTATTTGAGTGTTTTCATCTGACTAAGGACAGTTAGACAGTTTTTAAAATCATTAAACAGGACCTTTTAAGTCTCAGTACCTCACGCACATGGAATCCGTGGTGCATTCACATGTGTTTTGTGCACAAGTGGATTTATTTGTGAAATATTTATTGAACGCTTCCTGCTCGGCAGGCAGTGTTCTAGGCGCTGGAAACTCACCTTTTAAAACAGGTGGAGCTCCTCGTCTCCCAAAGGGACAGGATCGACTCCGGGGGTGGGGGCAGACACCCTGCCGTCCGAGCACCTCCACCTCAGAAGGTGCCGGGGTTTTCTTGGCTGCCTCCTGTGCTCGTTCCCCCTGGGTCCTACTTCCTCCCATTGCACCTGCTCCCCTGTGGACCTGGTGCCCTCTCTGTGCATTGCTGCACGCGGCTGAGTGTGTCTGCCCATGTGCACTGGCAGCGCTCGTGGGTTTGTGTTCCCACAAGAATTTGAACTCCTTCAGGGAGCTCATATTCAGTACCTTGGTTTAGCACGGTGCTCTGTGTGTGGTGCTGTTCGGCGCTGACTGCAACTCCTGCCCTTAAGAAGTGTTCCACGCTGAGTTTTTTAAAGATGCCTCCCATTTCTTGAAGGTTTGTCTTCTAGGGTTAGAGTCAAACTCCTTTGTATATGTAATCTTCTGCTTTCAAAATTTTTTTCTCCAGGTTCTGCTAATATGAAACTTGTTGGTAGGACTCTGTGCTATTAAGGGTCGCTTCTCATGCTCACGAGCCCAGCAGTCTTCAGTGGTTAGGGGTGGGGTCATTCTCTCTAAGCAGGCAAGATAATACAACGATATTAGTATAGCTGTATCTAACGTCTGTTTGTTTGTTTGTTTGTTTGTTTGTTTGTTTTGATTGAAGAGGGCATTAGGGGCCATTTTTCTTGGCTATAACTCTCCTCCTCCCATCTACCTTTTCCCAAAAAGTTTATGCTACGTTGAATCGTTTCCATTGCGTCACTGTTGTTTTCCTGTGTAATTGGTTACTACCAAAGTTCCCAGGCAGGTAGTCAGTGGAAGCTCCGTGTGGTCAGTGTTTTTTCCTCTGAATCCACGCCCCCCCACCCCCACCAAGGATTTCAGTGGCATCATTCCCACTGAGCAAGAAGTTTCCGCAGTGGGTGAGCATCTGCATCAGAGCCACAAGGTAAAAAAGCAGCCCGTACCTCATGGCTCACGAGCCAAAGTGCCCAGATTTGGCTTGTTGGTTGTAGAGTCTGTTCAGCCCTTTGCTCCTGAGCCTGTCATTGGGACCAGTTCACAGATCCTGACATCCTGTTCTAGTTAAGTCTGAAGAATTATATGTACAGAATTTTAATTTTTAATGAATTAAGTGAAGTGGACCATGCAAGAGTAAGTGTAGTTATGAAGTAAAGTAGTTGAAAACTCCTAAAAAAACTAATTTTCATTTTAGACTTTTGTTCTTTATGAGTGGCAAACTTAAAAACTGTACCTCAAATATGCGCTTGGAGACTCGAGTATTGTTTTGAACAAAAGAGGCAAGAGATGAATAGGTGGACGCTGTCATTATAAGTACGTGAATTGTTTGTGCTCTCAGTTCAAGACGTAAGCACGCTCGTGGGTGTCTTTGCTTCCTGACCTGACCCGAGTCTTCCTCTCACCAGTCTCAGCGCCTCCTACATTATTCTCTTCCACTGCCTGCCTGTCCGCCGTGCGCGTTGAGTTACTTCCGATAGTGCTGACAGAATCGGGATCCAAACTTACATTTAAGGAAGTCCGGCTGGAAAGAACAGACTCGCAGCTGAGCTGTGAGAACGTGATTTGCTAACCTCTCCCCGACACCGGCAGGTGCTGGGCCCCGCTCCCAGGTGGTGCTCCTTCTTGGACAACCTGACGGAAGAGTTGGAAGAGAATCCGGAGAGCACGGTGTACGATGACTACAAGTTCGTCACCAAGAGAGACCTGGAAAACCTAGGTAAAGACGATTTGGGTAAAGCAATGGTAGAAGTATTATCTCTCTCCCTGCTTGGTGGGGGGGGGGGGGTGTTGGACACTTCAGAAGTGGTGGAGTCACTTTCGTCTGGTCTTCAAGTCTCTGCCAAGCAGATATTACACGTAGTCCACATTATCAGATTTACCGTCTGTGCTTGGAGGAAGTTCAGGTGAGTTCAGCTGCTGAAGCTTCATTTCATCTTGAGTGAGTGAGGGACGGCCCTCCCTGTGTGTAGAAAAAAGGATCTGTCAAGAAAGCAGCGGTGTGCTTTTTCAAGTGCTAGTTGAGTGTAATCAGGTTGTGAAGAATCTTAAAGACTGCAAGTGAATGATTTCTGGCTCCCTGTCGGTTTGCCCTTTAAAAGATCCGATCTGAGACTTGGAACCCGCAGACTGACTTCAGACGTGCAGACCCTACTGGGTGCTGTAGGGTCAAAGACCACAGACCGAGAAACGCCCCCTGATAGTATGTGGTACTCGAGCAGGGCTTACGTGTGCCGGACGGGACGTGCTCCCTCCCCCTCCCAGCTCCGAGGGGTGGACACTCTTGTGATTCTGTTTCGTCGATAAGCAGACTGAGGCACATTGAGAGTGGAGTGAGTTGCCAAAGGCTTCAGTGCTAGTAAAAGTGAGGTTGGAACTTAACCCCGAGACCTCGCTCTGAGCCCCGGTCTCTCCAGCCTGCCAGAAGAGTGAATTTTTCCCAGCACCGGTCTGCAGGGCAAAGCAAGCAGATGCTGCTAATCTCACTCCAGTGGCGGGAAGAGGCGCTGCAGCAAGTCACGGAGAATGGGGCGCACAGCGGCGGGCCCGTTCCCCACAGTCTAGGCACCTTAGTTGTCCGAACAGACGGATGGACAGCAGCAGCTGGATGGTGAAAGAAAACAGGATTGGGTAGTAAATAGGTATATTTGGTTTAGCTGTATTTGGATAAAATGTAATTCAGCTCGCTTTTAAAACTGTGACAGTAGGTATAATATTCAACAAAATACGTCATACCAGAAACTTTTTCATGTACATTATTAATATCTTATAATATTAAGTGAGCCATTGGCTATCATTTTTCAACAGATTTCACCATCACATATAAAATCTTTAAAATAATTTATATTAAAAGTGGAAGTAAGGCTTAGTAATTAACTTCTCTTATTTTTGTAAGATTATTACCATTCAATACTTACAAGTTCTGACTCCCCCCCCCACCTATGGCCCCATAACTTGGTATTTCCCAAAACGTGTTTCATAGACTAGTGTGTCTGCAGAAGCACTTGTGGCCAGTGTCGTGGGCATCAGAGACGAATGGACACGGGTCCACACCCCACCTCTGCCCTGACTTGGCCAGTGTACTTGACCCCTGCCTGCCTTGGTTTCGTCCTCTCTGCAATGGCAGTGGCGCCCACCCTAGGGGTGCTTGGCGGCTGATGCATGTCGTGTCTGAAAAGTACTCGGTGTGGTGTCTGAATGTAGTCAGCGAGTGTCGGTTACTGTTTAAGAGATTTCTTTCTGATTCACTTCCCCAGGGCTCACGCATCTCATCGGGTCGCCCTTTCTCCGGGCGTATATGCACGGGTTTTTCATGGACATAAGACTCTATCACAAGGTAACACAAAAGCACAGTCACTCTGGGTGGCTGATGAGCAGTCCGTAGCCGTGTCTGTACTTACTTGCATTTTCACAAAACATACTTAGTGCTTTGTAAGAAATCCGTCTGCTCTTTGACACAATAGTGACGGTGTCTATGAAATTGCTGCTAACCACAGCTCTTTACAGTACTTTTATTTTTTCATTTTTATTTTTTTACTTTGGAAAGGTGAAACTGATGGTAAACCCATTTGCTTACGAAGAATACAGGAAAGATAAGATCCGCCAGAAGATAGAGGAGACTCGGGCACAGAGAGTCCAGCTGAAGGTGAGTCTTGTCCTCTCCATTGCGTTTACTGGAGGAAAGAACTTAGTTTTCATTTCGTTGTTATCCCGAAGGAACCTGCCGTCCACTCCTGAGTTCTTCCGTCACTTACTAGTGCTTTTGGTATATTTTATTTGTCATGAGGGTGGGTGCTGTGTAGTCTTATTGTGGCGGACTCCGTTGCGGTAGTATTATGGGAAATCAGTCGTATTACGTTAGAGGGACTGCTGTCATCCCTGCTGCGCCCATCCAGTGGTGTCCTCCAGTGGACACTCGGATCTGACATCCATTTCTTACCGGCAGTAGGCTGAGTCCTGGGCCAGCTGTGTGAGCCACCAGAGACAAAGGCCATGGACCGTGTCAGGGTCCTCACAGCGGCCAGACCGCACCAGTTACAGTAACTGGCAGACTTTGGTGGGAAGAGCCGTCAACCCGGTATCGGAGAACCGGAAAGACAGAAACATTAGATTGATTTGATGGGAGCGGCACTGGCTGCAGGGAGGAGGGACTTACTGGAGCCAGCTTCTCCATTGGGCGGGGCAGCCGGCCTCTAAGGAGGGGTCCTTGGGGTAGAAGGAGGCTGCTCCTGGGAGCCTCAGAAAACTGCAGCGGGAACCCCCACTCTCCCGGAGCCACCGGTTGCTGCCAGGGAGAGCAGTGTCACGCGTGGTGCCAGCTCAGCAACAGGCAGGCGGGCTGAGCAGTCCACCACCCCTCGGGCCCTCCAGCCCCTCTTGGTTGAGGTTGCCCGGCCACATGATGCTGTCGTTCCTCGCTGAGCATTGGCTCTGACACACGCACACCCTCTCTCAGTGCAAAAGACTTTCCTCTGTCCTTAAGTGTTCAAGAGTCAGGAATGAGTGCTTGGTGGCGGGGGCGCTGGGGTGTGGAGTGCCTTTGTCCAGCTTTTTGCTTTAACCTTTAAAGATAAAATATCGATGTTTTAATGCAGCTTGTCTTTCCTCTCCAGAAATTGCCAAAAGTTAACAAAGAGCTGGCACTGAAATTAATTGAGGAGGAGGAAGAGAAGCAAAACTCTGCACGGAGAAAGAAGGCCAAGGTGAGGTTTTGTAAGGGCATTTTGCAGAGCATGCCCCTGGTTTGCTTTTCGGCGCCTGCTGACCCACACCAGGCCCTGACCCGAGGCTCCTGTTGAAGTTTGTCAGGCTGGTTGGGCCAGGTGTTATCTCACATAAGGAAGACCTTCAAAACCACTCATGAATTAAGGAAGGAATCCTTCCCTGTAATTGTGAAGAATACTTGAAAGAATCGTTAAATCCATCAGCAGTTCATTAGTCTTGCCTTTGAACTGCTCATCAAACCCTCCAGCTGTAATAGCTCTGATACCTCCTGAGCTGAAAGTCAGTGAGGTGCAGTTACGTTCTGCTTTGGCTCCAGCTGAAATTCCAAGGAGGCAGACAGTGAAATATGCTGTCCTGGTGAAATGTGAAATCCCAAATATTGCCGTCACCGATGGCATCACCCAAGTCTAATAAGATGGTTACCGCCAGTTGCTGTCAGACCCACAGTGGAGAGCGACCCACCACATGATGTCAGGAAGCATTGTCTGGGCCTTATCCAAACTCAGAAGTGTGGGGGTATTAATTCTAGTTAAAAATTAATCCATCTGTTCTTTCAACAGATGGGTACTGAGGGTGGTGCACAAGCTCAGTAGGCACAGCACCCATGACCCATTGGTTTTGTACAGGGTTGAATTTTGTTAGAACCATTTTTATTACAAGTGTCATTCTCCGCCTTTTCTGCCAATTGTTTGTTGCCCCGAGTCTGTGTGAAGTGCTGCTCTTGGATTCTGCAGCAGCTCAGTCGTGGGGGGTGGCCGTGCGTGACCTCTGCAGGCCAGGGGGTCTGAGTAGCCTTGGGGGTTACTCCACACCATTAAGAGTTCACGTAACAATTCATCTCTCTGGGGGGAGGTACAGTCATGCGTAGACACTGGGTTCCATCAGGTCAGTTCTAACCAAAAGAATTGTTTTGGGTTTTTACCACAGTAGTTCACGCACAGTTCTAGAGACCGGGTATCTCTCTGAGGTTGGTTGGGAGCGTTGGCTGTCCCGCTGTCTGTCCCGCTGTCCATCCCGCTGTCCATCCCGCCGTCCTTTTTCTCTCTTGCTCTTCCTTCCCTCCCCTCCACCACTTTCGTTTCCCAAGATAAACGCTTTCGCCTTTTCAGCTGATTTTCTTGGTTTAAAACTGTCTCTTAGTAGTGTCCTCTTGACTGGCACATGCCAGGCACTGTCTCTTGGCAGCTGTCCCTCCCAGCACCGTCCTGCCATGGCTTGAGGGGAGTCAGCATCTCTGTGGTTGCGACTTTGCCCGAGTCCCACTTCCGGGCGGCACTTCGCACACAGCCCCCGTCTTTCCTGGACTCGACTGGCTTTCTGTTTGTTTCTCTAGTTACCACTACTTAGCCCTCAATTTTTTGCCCATTGTCTGAATCACATCTCAGGATATTTATGTGAAGATCAGTTGTTAGAATAATTTTATTTTTGCTGAAAAGTCTCTTCTACATCTTCCTGCCCTGCTGTCTAGACTGGGCATCCGGGAAGCCTGGTTCTCGCCGACATCCTGGGACTCGCTCCCCGCACCCCGCATCCCGCCGTGCCATCAGTCCAGGGCAGGGCAGGCAGCGAGGAGAGGGTCAGCCCTGCAGGTTCTGAACAACAACAACATGTGCTTGTTAACCCCATGTGCTTTTTTCCTCGGGAAGTTCCGGAGGATTTTCTCCTCCAAAGTAGGAGAGGGAGGCAGGAAAGAGGAAGTGTCCAGAGAAGTCCCAGGGCTGGCTCAGTGCCGCCTCGCATGCTCGCCACTCGTTGGCCCTCTCAATCCAGACACTTAGGTCCTTTAGCGGGGAAACTTCCTTGGAAAAAAAATTAGGTGGTTTCTCTCTGCCGTGATCCATGGCCATGGTTCATGTGCGAGGGAAGAGTTCAAAGAGCTGAATGGACCCTCTCAGGCGGGGGCCAGGCTCCTAGTCACCGGGCAGGGGCATGGCCACGCTGTCGATTTGGGAAAGCTCCCAACAGCAGCTTCTTCAGGGCCCCCGTCTCGGCGGTTTAGATTCCCCTGCTTGGAGAACGGCAGCCCGCCGCCAGCATTCTGAGAGGGGAGGCCTGGAGCTGGAGGGCTGCGGGGATGCTGGCGGGCGGGCGGCACCCCTCTGCCCGAGGCTGCCCTTGCCCTCGGGGTGCTGCTGGCCCGGCAGATACCTCCCCTCCAGAGACGAGGCCTGCAGTCAGACAGCCCACGTGCTAGGCCTTCCTTTTTTTTTCCAAAATGTCATTGCTCTGGTTCCCTTTTCTGTCGTCTTCATTCTTCAGGGCCTGTGGCTTCTTAAAGCCCCCTTTCTGTTGTGTTAGTAGGGTGTTAGCGGAGCTTAGGAGGAGGCGCTTGTGTTCAGACTGCATCATTACTCAGAAGTCTGCGTCGCCTTACTCACAGGGACCACTGCATTGCAAGAGCGCATTTGTTTTAAATGTCAGACATTCCTCATATGTGTTACCACGTTAGCACAAACTGTTAATGAGCTTCCTACTCAGATGGAAAGATACACTGCTTTGAGGTTGGGCTGTGATATAAACAGTGCTTAGAGATGTCTTCCAAATCTCAGGGGCAAGTGTTTAGCATGTATACGTGAGTATTTACAGGGCAGATCACTAGCCAGACGTTTGTAAACTCCTGTAGAACATCACTAGCTACACCTTATCCAACTCAAAAAAAAAAAAAGACAGCTGTGAAAACAAGCAGTTAGACAAGGAAAAATCTCCGGGGAAATGGTTTTGCAGCTGGGTCAGAAGAGATTTTATTTTATAAATGTTTCTCCTATGCATACTTGTCTTTAGGCAAAGCAATTTATTTGTTGCTCTGCCCCCAACACAGTCAAACGGCCTGGGGAGAACTGACGAGGCCCTTCGGAAAGGGGTTGGGATGTCCCTGTTTCCCCACGACACCGCTGGAGCGAGTAGCCGCCCCCCAGGTCATTCCTGACTCGGTGTCCACGTGCGCTGCTCCTCCCAGTTTGGGGACATGAAATTCAAAGACTCGCTGATTTTAATTCTGTGTATTAACTGTGCTTGTTTTGCCCTGACTGGTGTGGCTCAGTGGGTCAGATGTCATCCTGCAGACTAAAAGGTCGCTGGTTCGATAACCGGTCAGGGGACACACGTGCCTGGGTTGTGGGCCGGGGGCCCGTCTGGGGGCTGGGAGTGTGCGAGACGCAACTGATCGGTGTTTCTCTCCTTCCCTTCCTTTCTCTCTAAAAACAAGTACGATCTTTTTTAAAAAGCCATGTTTGAAAAACATATTTCCTTGAAAAGTGGTTTTGCATTCAAAATGTTAATGTAAGAAAATTCTCTCTAACGTGTATTGAGCATAAAGTTAGTCGGAAGTCTTGGCCTTAGCTCCTTACGTGTGATGGCCAAGTAACGCATGTCATCTCCGAAACAGAGGACTAGCGTTTCACGTGAGCAGGGGGCAGAGCTGGGGGCGACTGGGAGCACCTGAAACCAGCTCTAAGGAGAATTTGTAATAATCTGATAAGTTATGCCACGTGCAATTTATCAATCTGTAACCGAGTGAAACATTCTAAAGTCGTTGTGCCGGTCGGATTTTACTCAGATGCTAACTTCAAATTTTTACTTTCCTCATACAGAGCCTTCCTAATATTCTTACCGACGATCGATTTAAAGTTATGTTTGAGAACCCTGACTTCCAAGTAGATGAAGAGAGTGAAGAATTTAGGCTTTTGAATCCACTTGTTTCAAAACTCACTGAAAAAAGAAAGAAGAAACTAAGACTCTTAGAGCAACAAGAACACCAAGACCAGGTAATGTGCTGTCGTGCAGACTCTGCCGCCATTTCTTCAGTATAAAACGTTCTTTGTAAGTTAGCAGAATCTGTACTAACATTTCTTGAGGGGCGACTGGTCTGACCTTCAGCTTGGGCTACGTCCTGTCTAATGGTAGGCATTGCTCTCACGTACTCTGATGGGCTGAGGCTGTTGGAAAGGTGACGGGTAGGGGCTTGGTGGGGAGAGGAGCTGCGTCTCACTGTTTTTACCCCCAGGAAGAGGAGGAAGAGCCGGAAGGAAAGCCAAGCGACGCGGAGAGCTCCGAGAGTTCGGACGACGAGAAGGCCTGGGTCGAGGAGGTCAGGAGGCAGCGCCGGCTGCTCCAGCAGGAGGAACGAGCGAAGCGGCAGCAGCAGCTCCGGGAGGACCGGCAGACCGTCCTGAAGCCCCAGTTTTATGAGATCAAAGCAGGCGAAGAATTCAGAAGCTTCAAAGACTCCGCCACCAAGCAGAAGCTGATGAAGTGAGTCGCGCCGCCCTCGCACGCTCAGGGCCCAGCCCTCCCGCGCCGCACCAGGCCCTAGACTCCGTCTTCCGGCCTCTGCCGGGAGCCAGGCCGAGGGAGCAGCCTGGGCTCCGTCCTGCTGCTTCCAGCCGCTTTTCCAGCTGCAGTTCGCACGCAGGGAGGCGCAGGGTGTAGCCCGTGAGGGCTGGTAAGCGCGTGCTGGCCACTTCTGCGCTGCCACAGCCACACCCATGCTGTCCCCGACTGTTCCCGTCAGGTCCCCTCACCTGCAGGCGTCCTTCTGCTCTCCGCCCTACAGATCAGTGGGCTTTTGCACAGTGGCAACTGAGCTGACATGCTTTGCCTCTTAGCAGGGGTTTTTTTTTATATAAGATTTTATTTATTTATCTTTAGAGGATAAAGGAAGGAGAGAGGGAGAGAAACATCAATGTGTGGCTGCCTCTCATGTGTCCCTTGCTGGGAACTGGCCTGCAGGGAACTGGCCTGCAACCCAGGCATGTGCCCTGACTGGGAATGGAACCAGCGATCCTTTGGTGCACAGGCCTGCGCCCAATCCACTGAGCTACACCAGCCAGGGCTTAGCACGTTATTTTTAAAAATTAGAATGTCAGTTATCTTTACCCCCATCTCCATTTACCTGATTGTTGAAAAGGTTACTTGGGAAAAATTGCCAGAAATTTTAAGACTTTTGTGGGCAAATGGAGAGATGAGAGCAGTGTTCTGGAACCTACACTGAGACACAGGTAGAAGGGAAGTCCTGGTCCCGCGGGGACTTTATTTTACCCTTCAGAGGAACTGCGGAACTGCTCTCCGAGAGCCCGCTCCCTCCCACGTCCGCACTCGCACGCGCAGCCCCCGCTCTGTGTGCCCTGGTCTCTGTCTCTCGGAGCCACACTCGAAAGCGCGTTCCTAGCGCTCTGACCCTGGGGGGGCTGCTGGGCGAGGCCGGCCTCTGTGCCTATCGGGCTTCACTTACTTCATTCCTCGCGCCTGAACCAGTGCCCAGATGGGAGCAGGCACAGAGGGAACCCTGCCAAAGCAGGGCCTTGGGTGCCTGGGCCACACGTCCGCCTGCTCAGGAAGTAGATCCTTTAAGGTCTCTGAGAAGGAACTCATTTACCCCCAGCCCACAGCGGGACAGTGCGGGAGCAGTTGTTTTTAGTGTAACCGTGGTAACGGGGCCTGCCGTGGGAGTGGGAGGATGACTCACCTTGGGGCAGGTCATCTGCTGCCTGTGGGTTTAGCAGGATGTGAGGTGAAGACGCGGTGAGAATGTAGTGTTCGGGGACGAGGTAATAGTGAGGTTAATACGCTGCACTTGAGCTCTTTTCTAAGTTAAACGTTTTTTGAGAAGAGGAGCTGTGTAAGTAGTAATGCCTTTCTGAGCTCGAAAGGAGAAGCCTGCCGTCAGCCCTCCGGCAGGAACAGCCTGTAGTGTGCGGCACAGAACTGCCTGTCGAACCCCGGTCTTCACTGGGTCGTGTCGGCGAATCCTGAACTTGCAGTATCTTCGTGTTATTTAACGAAGCACTGAATCCTGTCCGCGTGGGGCTGAAGTGGCTCCTAACTCCCTTCTGGGAGTTACCACGAGGCAGTCAGTGCAACACAGCAAAGTCGAGTGTGTCGTGTGGGGGCGCTCACTCGGACTTGCCCGGCTGGACAACCACGTCCGTAAAAGGGAAGAGCAACTCAAACCTGAGTCCGTTCTCTTCTTTCTTGGCGTAGTGACCCGCCTTTAGATAAACACACGTGTCTGTCAGCACCTTTCTGTGGAGCGCTCTGCTCTGTGTGCGAGTTCATTCATCCATCCCCTGCTCTGTCGGCCCCTCTGTCTGCCCACTCACCACTCACACCTCCCAGGAGAGCCTGGTGGGAGCCACCCGCCGCTCTGGCCTGGGGGTGGGGAGGCAGGGCACAGCCAGCGTCGCCGTCCCTTCTCGCTGGGGCTCTACGCCGTGAGGAGGCAGGTAAAAGGCGCATCAGAAAGGGGTTCAATTGGAGGCTGACGGAAGCCTCTGTACAGGGCTGGGTTGGAACTTGCCTTTTCGGAGGTGAGCGGGTGAGCACCAAAAACAGGTGGGGAAGATGCGTTGTTTAGGCAGAGGCCACGGTGTGAGTGCGGGAGTGCGCTGTGACCATTGAGGGGACAACTGTTCTCTCGCAGGGAGAGCGCAGCCCGGGTGGAGGGAGGGGCGGGAAGGATGCGCAGGGCCCAGCAGGCCCTGCAGAGCAGGGGCGGGTTTCCAGCCCCAGTTTAGGGACCGGTCCACCTGCATTATGTAAATCCCTAGAGAAGCAGCGCATGCTTGTTGGAGAAACTAATGACAAAACCGTGTAGGCGGCACAAGCCCCTGTTTCCCAGAGACAGCGAGAATTAGAGAATTTAGGGGCAAATGGGGCACTTGGGACCAGCTAAGAATCTACACCCAGGTCCCAGCCGGAAGTGATGGAAGCCTGACCCGTGGGCTGGAGAGGGACAGACACACTGAGACCCAAGGCGGTTTCAGGTCACGGCAGAGAGCTAGCCAGGGGATAGTGGAAGGGTGGGCGGCACTTCTGCCCAGGGAAGGACACAGTGAAGAGCAGGGTGACGGCCAGAGGTGCCGACTCCTCCTGGGACTTCGCACGGGGACGCCACCTGGGGCCTGTTGGGATTTTTGTCTCTGTGTGTTAAGAACTTCTTTAGAGTGTATTACCTGCTGATGGAATTTCCTGGACCCGAACGGGGTGTGCGACAGCAAGGCCAGATGGGCACTTCATGCTCTCGCTCTTAGAGTGAGCCTGTTTCCGTGGGCAGGGACAGCGTCCAGCAGTGCTGACGGCAGCCATGTCTGTTCCCCGGTGGCCCACACGCCAGCCCCGGGGACAAGGCCTTCGCGGCCGTCTGTGCAGCTGCAAGCACTGAACCGGGCTTTCCGGTGGCCTTCGTTGTGTGTGCAGATACCTGCCCGAGCTGTGCTGCGCTGAGGACGAAGTGCCGAGGCTTTAACAGACTTTTTGAACGTAGCGTTTTCCCGTGGACTCCAGGTGCGCACGCCCCGGCTGGAGGCTGTGGGGGGCTTTTCTGAAGGCCACACCAAAGCCCGGGCTCAAAGGTCACCTTCCGCTCCCCCTGTCCATTTTCCTGAAAGCAATTTTAAAAACTCTCAGGTAGGCACTGTGTTTAGTCAGGTGGTTCTGAGTAAGGACGTGTTAGTGTGTATGGACTGTAAAGCTTCAAACAAGTAAGCCGTCCAGCTGTGCCACCCCCAGTCGTGTCTGATCTGAGTTCCCCTGGGGGTTTGTGCCCGCACTTCTCCTTTCCTCTAACACGGCCCGCCGGTCATTTAGGCCCCTCCTCCCTCCTGCTCACTCCCCCAGTTCTGAGTAGTTCTTCTCACTTTTCAACCTTCTGCAGCCCATCTCTGTCTTCTTAGCAGTCCTCACCAATTTGGGGGTTTTTTTTGCTTATCTGTGACAGTGCAATTTTTCCCTAAAATTCTTTACTCTCAATTACAAAGTAGCCCAAAGCTGGTGGACCTGAAGCTAGGAGGGAAAGAAGCAGGACCCAGGAGGGCGAGAGGGGCAGGAACAGCACTTGGTGGCACGCGGTCCTCCGCCAGGCCTGGCAGTGCGGGTCTCGGCGTTCTCTTCCATTCCACGGACAGTTTTGTGGGGGTCTGCCTGCCTCTTCAGTCATCTCTGCCGAACTCACACTCGGTAGCAGGCTTCAGGCTGCTGGGCAGCAGCGCACGGTGTAAGCTGACTTTCAGCGGGAGGGCTGGGGCGCGCTCTCCTGCAGCCGGCTCCCCTCCCAGCCCGTGTCTGATCTCCTGCCAGGCTCCTCCTAACGCAGCGTCTGTCCGCGCAGCCCAGACAGGCAAGTCCCCACAGGCACACACCCTGACTGCCGAGAGGCGGCCGGGACTGGCCCGCCCCGTCATGGAGGAAATGGGTCATTCTTGAGAGAGTAGTAATTTCCCACAATTTACTTGAAAAGTCTGTTTCTTCCCAAATTAGCATTTTCGTGTCCCGCTTGTCTGAGTGGCTCCATAGTTGCTCGAGGTCCCGGTTAGCTGTAAGACGTCAGACCGCGTTTATAGCTCCAGAAGGCACAGAAAGAATGAGCAGGGCGGGGAGTCTGCCTAGGCTGACACAGCCCGCGTGCAGGGCCAGGGTCCGTTCACAGTGCACTTTAGGATTCTTGTTTTAAAAAAAGAGCTGAAGCAGATCTTAATTCCATGCGGCACTGCGTACGGAAGCTTGTCATTTAGAGTCCGTAATGGATCCGTTCCCTGAACAGGACTCTGGGAACCAGGTGTGGTCTGGCACACGCCTGGAGACCCGGAGTTCTTAAATTGGAGTCCCACGTCGCCCGGAGCAAGCCGCTACTGCCTTTCCTCCCCTTTTGCCATCTATAAAGGATAAATACTTCTGTCTCAGGGATGTTGAAAGGATTAATTAGTTAGTCTGTAAAGAACTTTAAACATGAGAAGTACTTTAAAAGTGCTTCTTAATAACATTATTGCCTAGGAAAGAGTGCCACTTTTATGCTAACTGCTTTATGCCTCAAATTATGTAAAGAAGGCATGTTTCGGACACTGCAGCCCTCGTAAACCGGGGCTGACGCCCTCACACTGAGCACATCAAACAGCACTGCGGGCTCCCGAAGGAGCCCTGGCCTGTCTTGTGGGCCTTCCAGGAGCTGCTGTGTTAGTCACTGAGACGGAGGAGGGGGCCCGTTCGTGCAAAGCATCCCTTTTTCATTCAGCTGAGTTTTCAGGACCAATGTGCAAAGGGGACATTCAGCCTTAAGTTGGGGGCATGGAGGGTGGGTCGTGTGTTTTCTTCATTTTGAGGAGGGAGGAAAGCAGGGGACAGAGCCAGTCGTCTCTTTTTTCTTCCAGTTTTACATCAGGGAGGTGAGGGTGTGGCTTCAGCCTTTTCCAGAAGGATTAGTGCTGAAGTTAAGAAGAATTGAAAGTATCTCTCTTTAGGCTTAATTCCTCTTGCTCCCTCTAAGCCCAGTTAACAAAAAGGGTCAGCGGTTTGAGCAGGCGTGCAAGTGAAGTGATGCATGACCGGTACCTGACCCAGGTTTGGCGTCCGACTGAAGAGGTAGAGGGAGGGCAGGACCGTGGCAGAGGATGGGGCGCCACAGGGCAAGGCTCACCAGAGCAGGGACACTGGTTGCATGGAGGGACCCCGCAGAAGTTTGGGAAGCACGAAGGAGATGTGCCATGAGATTTAAGTTGGGGGTAAAGTGTGTCACAGTCACTCAGGTGAGACACCGAGAGGCCCCTGGGGCAGTGCGGGGACTGGGGCCGAGTCGGAGGGGATGGGCCCTCATTTGGCGTGGTCACTCTTGTTCTCCCTTCGTGGGAACAGATGGGGTCACCAGTCCAGTTCGTGTCCAGGGCTGAGACCGAGGGAAGGGAGGGTCGGCCCTCCCAGCGCTTCTCTCCGGCTCGACCCGGGGAACCTCACTGTGGCCGCTCTGTCCCAGGCGAACAAGCTGCTACAACACTGTAGGTGTAAAGCGCCACAGCGCCGGAAGGGGGCCGCTGACCCCGCACCAGATGGCAGGCTGAGAAACTCGAGTCAATGAGGAGAACAGCAGCCAAGGGTGGGCCTGGGCCGCCACCCACTGTTGGTGCCACGTGTCCTTGGGCCCTGAGTGGCGGCTGCGCCTCGTTGTCTGTGCCGTGCGCAGTGCAGGTCATGTCTGCCTTCACCACGCGTGTGAAGGTGTTTCTCCGCGGGACCGGTCCTGATTAGAACTTGTTTCCAGTGGTAAATCGGAGCACGGTGCTAATTAGTGTGTCGTTCTCTTACAGTAAAACCCTGGAGGATCGGCTGAAACTCGAAGCAGAAAAGGGGGCGCTGAGTGTGTCAGACACCACGGTTGGCAGCAAGCAGCTGACGTTCACGTTGAGGAGGGTGAGCCTGCGTGCACGTTTCTGCACTCCCCGACACGGCCAGGCTCCGCGGCCCCGGGCCTGTGTCTGACCCCAGCAGCCCCTCCTCTCGCTCTTCCCCGTGGGGGAGGCAGCGCCCCTATGGAGCCTGTCCCCGCAGCCAGAGGCCCTGTGGGGAGAGCTTGCTGTGTCCGGTGTCCACAGTGACCCAGGAGTTGGCACTGTTGGTTCCTGGGTCCTGGGGCCACCTGAGGGGCCTGGCGGCGGTGTGGCAGAAGTCCTGCCCACCTGAGGCCGTGAGAGGATGGATACTTGAAGCGTAGGTGGGCTTCCGTGCGTTCCTGACGGACATCCCACTGACCTGGGCGTCGGGTCTCAGAGGCGAGTTACTCGTCACTTCGGGGCCCGGTCTAAACCTGTTTCTGAGAATCATTTCTTCAGCCAGCTGTGGGGGGGCCGGGCGCACACTGTGGGAGGGTAGGCTGCTTAAGTGTTTGCTTTAACTAATGAGCAAAACCCTGTGGTTCTATTTTCTAAAAAAGTCTTTCATTCAGTAGATCTCCCTTATTATATGTTGTTACCAATTGGGGAAAAAATGACAAAGATTCTACCTCTGACTTTTTTTTTTTTTTTTTTTAATCAAGATGTAATTCCCATACCATGAAACTCACCCTTTGGAAGTGCAGTCAGGGTTTTTAGTGTAGTCACCAAGTTATATAACTGTCACCATTACCTAATTTGAGAACGTCCTCATCTCCCCAAAGCAAACCCCATAACCACTAACAGTCACCCCGTTTTCCCAGCCCTGGGCAACCAGCTGCTTCTTTTCTGTCTCTGGATTTGCCTGTTAGGACATTTGCTGTAAATGGAATCACACAGTGTTTTCTGTTATGACCAGCTTCTTTCACTTAGCGCGTTTTCATAGCGTGGATTGTAACTTCACTCCTTTTTACAGCTAATCCTTCATTGTGTAGGTAAGACCACATTTTGCTTATTCATCCATCTATTGATGGACATTGGGCTGTAGCCCCTTGGTGACTATTATGAATGATGCAGCTGGAAACTTCAGGTACATGGTCTTGCATGGACACGTGTGTTCATTTATGTTGTGGATAACACCTAGGAGTGGAATATTTGGATCATCTCATAACTTTCTGAGGAACTGCAGACAGTTTCCCACCGAGGCTGCAACATTTCACATTCCCACCAGTATGTGTACGAGGGCTCTGTTTGTCCGCGTCCGCACCAACACTTGTTATTGTCCGTCTTTTTATTGTAGCCATCCCCACGTGTGAGGCGGCATCTCCCTGCGGCTGTGATCTGCAGCTCCCTGGTGACGGATGCTGTGGAGCATCTTCCCATGTGCTTATCAGCCATTTGTGTATTTTCTTTGGAAAAGTGTCTGTTCAGATCCGCTGCCCATTTGCCTCTGATTCTTCGACACTTCTCTCTGATGGCATCAGGCTTGCTAAATGATAAGAGCATTTTTTCAGTTAGCATTCATCATCCCCTGTAGATACAGTTTTTTAAAAAGCAGAAAAAATTTTTGCCAGTCTCGAGCGTGGGGCTCTTGTCAGTGTTAATGGTGGCAGATCTTTGGCTTTTGGGAGCAATTTCATTTTTTTAAAACAACCAAAAATTCCTTGGAACCAGTTCTGGTGAATGAATGCTTGATCACAAGTGGGTTATAATACCCTTCTGGTGCACTCGAGGTTGTTTAGTTTTTAAGATGTGAATAAACCAGTGGTTCTGGCTTATAAACAAAAGACTGTTCTAGAAGCAGCCGATGCCATTGTGTGAGCATTAGCGCCTTCTGAAGTTGACCGTAACCCTTTAAAGTGTCCCCACGGTGCTGTGCGTTGTCTGGGAAGTCACTGTCATGCTCTGTGGTTCAGGCCGCTCTGTCAGGGAACCCGTCTTGCCCGGGGGTTGGAACTTCTTGTGTGACGGTGGCCGTGGGCCCTTGCCCTCCAGCTGCTGCCAGGGCGGCGTCCGGGCACCAGACCGCGTACCCCGGGGCCTGCAAGCCACGCCTGTCCAGCAGCAGGTCTGGGACTGGCGGTGGCCGTTGGCATTCTGATGGTCACCAGAGGGACTGCCGGAACTCTGCCTCTTTCCCTCTTCTTCAATTTTCTCTTCTAGTCCGAACAGCAGAAGAGGCAACAGGAGGCCGAGAAACTGCACCGCCAGGAAAGGAAAGCGCTCCGCCGCTCGGCCGGGCACCTGAAGTCCAGGCGCAGGAAAGGACGGCCCTTCCACTGAGCCCGGGGAGGACCCGGCTGTGTGGCTCGGAAGGCGGATCGGCATCAGCGCAGCCGGACACGGGTCAGAGGCACGCAGTCACAGCGTCCTGTCCGTTCTTGATGGGTCCCGAGGCTAAGGTTTGGCAGCTGTCCCTGCGCCTTCCAGGTCAGCACTTCACCCCCCCCCCTCCCCCCTGGCACAGCAGCTGTCGCTCCCCACGAACTTCATCTGCCCTCCAGTCCGAATCAAGCAGACCAGGCGGCCATTCCCGAACCCTGCGCAGTGCGCGCCGCGTGTGCCCGGGCGGCTCTGCTGTGCCGGAGACGGGGTGGGGGTGCGGGGCACGCCCGTGGGCCCGGCACTTTCTCTGTCGCTGCCACTCACCGGCGACCGCCCACCCCCACGCCCCGCTCAGCTGCCCTTGGCCGTGGTTGTGTGTCCCCACGTGTACTCGTAGGGTAGCTGCTGGTCTGTGTGTCCGTTTGGGATTTTTGATAAATATTTTTATACCAGGAACATAAATTAATGGTAAGAACAACGTGAAGCATGAAATAGAAGTTATTACTGGGAATAACTGAAGTTATCTTTTATATTTGTCACAAGATTAGAGGTTGTTTTCATGTTTCTTAAGTGCATAGAGATAAACTGGCTGGAGACAACATTCATAGAAATAAATTTTTTCATTCAGCTTCTTTGAGAAAGACCCATTTCTTGAATTTGTTTGAAAATTAACTTTGGTTTCCTGAGTTTCCTACGTGTCCCTGTGATTCCGGAGGCGTTTCTTCACGTACAGCTGGAACGGTGGCTCGGGGCCGTGTGTCCTCACTGGAGATGCTAGAAGCGGGACGGCGACGGCCAGCACAGCCAGGCTGTGGGACCCACGGCCGCCTCGGGGCGCCTGGGTCTGATCTGCACCCTCCTCCCTCTCCTGCTCCCAGCTCAGCCTCGCGCCCACTCCCCAGGTCTGCCCCCTCTCTCTCCCTGACAGCTCGTGCCCAGCCCGTCCCGTCTCTCTGCTGCGCAGGCTGGCTCACTGCTGCCTGCAGGGGACCGCTCGGCCCCGCGTCCACTTCCGTGTGGGTTTGTGGTATGTTGTGTGTGTCTGTCCGTGAGGGTTTCAGGGGTGTGTGTGTCTGTCCCTGTGGATCTGTGGTGTGGTGTGTGCAGACACACATGGTCAGCAGAAAGACCCTCATTCCCCGGGCAGCCAGCCTGGCCTGGCTTGTGGTGTCAGCGGTCGCCCCCCCGCCCCCGTTCTGCCCCTGGTTCAGACCGCTCTCCTCTTTCACCTCCACGTCCCCTGAACTCACCTGTAGGACCCTCGGCTGCCCTGTGGCTTCTCACCTGCTTCCCGCTTCGCTTTCCTCAGGCCCAGGGTTTCAGCCGGGGAAGGACACCGGCCGGAGTTTCCCAGGGGCCTGCTCCAGGCCTGACTCCTGGGCCACTTCCTCCGCTCCTGTGCCTGGCTTCCCGGGCCCCTCTTCTCCTTCTCTGCATGGGGTTGGGGCGCTGCGGTGTGAGAGCCAGCATGCCAGGGTGCAGAGCCCCAGCAGCAACGCCGCGGGCTAGCGGAGGGAGGTCACTCGCCCTGTGGGACAAAGCCTGTTCCTTGCAGGTCAGGGTGTCTAGGCACCCCTTCCCCTGGGGCGCTGGCAGCGAGCCAGCCCAACCAGGGCAGCATCTCAGCCCGGCCAACTGCCCGCTCCGCGTGGTGGACTATTTCGCCCCTTTGAGCCCCACTCCCTCCTGTCGGAGGGGCCGGCACCTCCTGCTGGGGAGGGTCCAGGGACATCCGTCCGCACTCAGCACTCCTGTTGGCGTTTAGAACCGAGCCCGCGGTGCCCGACGTCCGGACGGCTTGCCGAGGGGTCGCTGCCCCTCCTCCCTCCAGGCCCTGCTCCTCCCCTGCTGGTCCTCTAGAACAGCCCCGGCGCTTCGGGGCGGGAATTCTTCATGTTTCTTGGAAGTCTTTTGTTTTCCAATGTTATGCGAGTTTTGTACACTGTAATTTTTCTGTGTCTGATAGGGCTCTTTCTCACCCCAGGACATGGCCGCATCACCTCCGGGCCTCCACCGGGAACGTGGGCGTGGGGCGCCCATCAGCCAGTGGGAGAGGCCCGGCCTGAGCCAGGGCCTGGTGTTCACTCGGCCGTCCCGGGGGTTGCTGGGTAATGGCCTCTCGCGGGCCTGCCCAGTCCCCTCGTGCTTCTTTTTTTTAAACAGCTATTAAGAAAAGGTTGTTTTGAGCAGTTGAGGTAGCGGTGCCTGGGAGAGAGGGAAGGCAGTGGACACCCGGGACCTGGCTGGTTCTGCGCCTTAAGCCAAATGCCCGGCCACTCTCCTGACCCGCACCCGTTCGTGTGTGCGGGCACGACACCCCCACTGAGAAGCGGGAGGAGAGCTGCCCAGCCGCCTCCCGTGGACCCGCCGTGCCCCCCACTCCACCCCCGCAGTGTGCCTGCCCCGGCTCCCGTGTCCGTTCCGGGGGCGACCACACTGCCGCACCACCCGGGACGCCCCGCGTACCCGGCCGGGCCGGCCCTCACCTGGACGTCTACGGTTTACAGTGTGAGTAAGCGTTTCCAAGTCCACTTACGTGGAGGGAGGTCTGCCTCACTCGTGCGTGCGGGTGTCAGAGTGTTTCTTTGTTGTTACATGGCTGATCCATGGTTAACGCTTCCTCTGTTGCTCATTCTGCCTGAAAATCTAAGGAAGGGATCTTTTAAAAGTCACTTCTGTCATAACTATCTCCCAAGTTATTTTTCAAACGGATGTAGTAACTTTGTGAAACATCTACATGTAGTAAAGATACCTCAGGGTCATTTCTATTTTTTCTTTTCTCTTTCTTGTTTTTCAGTGTGTGAGATTTGAATGGGAACCTCGGTTCTACTTACTAGGATAAAGTTTACTTTCGTTATCCGTGGGATTTCCCATTGGTCATAAGAGCAGAAACAAATGCTTTGTCACATATTGGGCAAACCTTAGTGATATGTATTTTTTTATTCTCACCGAAGGATGTAGAGAGGGAGAGAAACATCGACGTGAGACAGAAACGTCAATCCGTTGCCCCTCTGTATGCGGCCCCGGCTAGGGATCGAACCTGCGACTTTTTGTTCCACAGGATGGTGCTCCAACCAGTGAGGTGCCCTGCCTGGGCTTCATGACATTCTCTGACGTACTGTTCAGGGTGTGTTTTCTCAGCACCTCCAGCTGGAATTGCTGACGTCCTCAAGGCTGTCGTGTGGCTCACACAGCCCCCATCGTTTATTTTCCTGCTGCCGTGACAAGACAGGTGGCTCTCGGGTGGGAGTGGGTGGCCTGGCCCCAGGCAGAGCAGGGGAGCCCCTAACTGGCCGTGAGGGGAAGAGAGGAGCTGAGCGTGGCTGCAGGGTGGTGGGCCACGGCAGAGCAGGGTGGGCAGCAGAGGTGATGAGGGTGCCGGCTGACCGTGGCCCAGCCTGTGAGGGAGAACCAAACCTCCCACAGCTGCAGGGCTCAGTGTGGCCTGCCGGCCACTCTCTTGTGTGCTCACTGTCCTCTCCACACCGACCATGCCATTCCTGGAACACTCGGCGTTCCCCCAGGCCTTGGCTCCCCTTGGCCCTCGCTCCCCTCCGGTCACGACCACCCCCGTTCAGACTGTCACTCTCCCGCTCTCAGCACGCCCCGCGCCTTGCCGGCAGCGGATGCCCGGCAGACGTGATGTACTCAGAGAAACTTTTTATTGTGGAGGATTTCAGACACACACCCCAGTGGAGAACAGCTTAATGAGCTCCCCGTGTACTCATCCGCAGCTCCAATAATTAACAACAAAAGCTCATCTTGTTTCATCTTGACTCCTCCCCATTGGCCCTATTATTTGGAAACATTTTGATCCCAGACGTATCATTTTATCCATAAATATCCGCAGCGCTTTGCCACCCCCGCCCAGCACCGGGATGGAAGCTCGCAAGGAAGGCGTCGGGCTCCTCGGTCTGTTTGGTTCTCCGCTGTGTTTCCAGCATCCGGTGCGATGGCCGGCGGGTAGTCGCTACTCCATAAATGTTTATTAAACAATACGGCGAGGACTGAAGAAGGAACTTCGGGTTCAATGCCAGCCTGGCAGGTCCCACCGAACCCGAGCAGTTTCAGGGGCGGGGAGCTGGAAGGCCCGGTCGGAGCTGGGGAGAGGGTAGGGAGCGGGACGTCAGGATGAGTGGCTGCAGACGTTGGGAAGGAGTTTTGGAGGCAGAAGCGGAAACTAGGAAACGTGAGGCCAAGAGGGTTTTCTCCGAAGTGGGACAGCTCCCACTGGCTGCGTGCTGCTGGGGGTGACCCCGGGACAAGGACAAAGTGAGGACACGGGCTGGCGTGACTCTCACCCCCCTAAATGGGTGTAGCAGGCGCCCACTGTTGTGCAGCACGTCACCCCAAAGTCGATGTCATAAAACAGCAGCTCTCCAACCCTGCCAGTGGGCCAGCGTTTCTGGAGCGGCTTCGCTGGGCGGTTCTGACGCAGGGTCCCCCACGAGGGTCCGGCCGAGACGTCAGCCGAGGCTATGGTCCCCGGAAGGCGTGGCCAGAGTCACAGGTCATCTTCCAGGCCTAGGGCCGCCTTGCCGCAGGCCTGTCCAGGGACTGCTGAGTGTCCTCATGACATGGGAGCCACCTTCCCCCCAGCAAGGCACCCAGGAGAGCGAGAGACCAGGGTGGGAGCCACAGCACTGTCGTCACCTGGCATCAGGGGCTGTGCGTCGTCCTCGTCCCCTCCCTCTGCTTTGTGAGCGGGGAGTCACTCAGGCCGCCCACCGGACACCTGGAGAAACGGGGTCTGGGACGGACAGGTGGCCGATGGGCGTGGCGCTCTGCTGCAGTTCCACGAGCGTGTTTTTGACCAAAGGTGCGGGACGAGTGTCCACCTTCCCTTTGTTTGAACGCGCTCTTCAGCATCCATGAGATGCCAAACAGATTTTATAGAAGCACAGTTTTAGTGACTTAGTAAGAAAAGTTAAAGGTTTTTGTGGCTCTTAGGGAAACTTCCAGTGCATTAAAAGTCTGAATTTGTTTATTTGATTGACTTCAGTTTTGAAATGACTTTCAGACCTCACTTCACCTGTGTAGCCATGAAGGCGAAAGAAGACCCCGGAGCTATCGCCGCCACCCGCATTTTCAAGCAAACGGGTGGTGGCTGTGAGGTGACTTCACTTTACACCTTGTTAGGTGCCAGTCTTCGTGCTTCGTGACCCGTTGAGCACGTGTCTCTCTTGCCTTCGAGATGCTAACGGCACCGTGTTCCGCTTCAGGAAGAGTCCAAAGTAGTGAATGTGCTGGAGTGACCGGATTCTCCTCGGAACTTGGGTAGAGGACAGCAAAGTGTTAGAAAAAGTATATGTGCAAAGAAATACTGTCGTGGACACTGGGTTATTGCTTCCACCCCAAAAAGTTTGTATATCCAAGTTGGCATACATTTTTTTCTCCTTGGGAGAACATGGAATTGTCTTATTTTTGGACTTTCCTTATAAATACACGAGCACACATACAGTAGCTTGATTTAAGATGTTATATATCTTTCTGAACGTACAGGGAAATTTCCCGTGCTCGTCACTTTCAGTCTTAGGATTTATTTTTTATCCACCTACAAATTTTCCAGGATTCCCAAGTGCCTCAGAGAACGTCTAAGTGCCGACTTCGAATGAGCTGTTCTAGGACCTGG